TATGCCTATCTTTCATGGGAAACTGATAGTTATAAACCAGGACTGCAAGTCAAATAAGAAGGTAAAAGTAATGAGACAGGCAGCTAAGGGGTCAGCAACAATGATGAGTTTGGGTGACTGACTGTGTCTTTTTACAAAATTAGAGAGGAGGTAGACAAGAAGGATCTGAGTAGATTGTAGATAGCACTGAGTGGGAAAGGACAGAAGAGTCAGATGCAGTACTGTTTATGAGTGGGAAGAGAAAGGGAGAGAATCAGAACAAATACATAGCACATTAATATTATATTTCAAATTTATTAACCTTGTAGTCATCTCATTTGGACTGAAGGGACGCACCGGGGATCCAGGTGAAGCAGGCAGCCAAGGTTTCCCTGGACCACGAGGAGATAAAGGATTTAAAGGTAAGGCAGCACAAATAGTGGGCCAAATCCTGCAGTCCTTATTCATTCCTTACTGATGCAAAACTCCCGTTTGGGCTCAGTGTATGTTTTGCCTGAATATGATCCAAATAATGCCTGAAGGATTCGGTGTAATGCTGGTGCAATGAGAAAAATGTCTCATAGGTATAGTTCCTTTCTTAAATATATTTTATTTTTCTTTATTTAAAATGTTCTTATGTCTTCATTACAGGTAACAGGTTCTGTTCCAGTAAAGTCAAATAAAGTTTAGCTATGGTATTCAATAGTGCCATGACCCTATTCCCTCACCCAATGGATAAAAATGACCTCACTTGAAATTCCTCATTGATTCTTGCAGTTGATTTTTTCCAGAGATATTGATTGTTCACCTTCCTTATACATTTCTGCAGGTGAAACAGGGGATTGTAAGTGTACCAGAAGTGATGAAGCCAGAAAGGGTTCTGCTGGTCTACCTGGTCCACCAGGTTTTGAAGGCCCACCTGGAGAGCCTGGAAGGAAAGGAGAGCCTGGCGATCAAGGTCAACATGGCATTCCAGGCTTCCCTGGGACAGAAGTAAGATATTTAATAACTTTCTTTAAGTTCTGCATATACATACCAGAGACCACCAAATAATATGAAAATGGAAATATTTCCTTTGGACTGCAACATTGTATCAGTAATTTTCAGGGGTTTGTCAAAATGTTAATGAAAACCAAAACATTTTTAAGACAAAAAAGGCAAACATTTCATTTAACAAAAAAGTCCATTTTCCATTCAAACAAAAATGTTTTCAGAAAAAAAAAATCAACTTCATCTATTAAAAACACCAATAGCTGGTCAGATATGAGGGTGATATCAATATCAGGGTATGGATTAAGGATCAGAGCACTGGCGAAAAGGTCACTGCCACAGGGTGATAAGAAATGTTTGAAGCAGGATATTTAGAGCACAGTTGTGGCTTGTCCATTGGTTTCATAAAGAGTTCCAGTTCATTTTTCCATTTGGATCTCAATAGGGCTTCCCTGGTGAAACTGGATACCCTGGACCAAGAGGGCAGAAAGGAGATTCTATTTATATAACGACTAAAGGTAGAGTACACAGCTTATTTCACTTGCCATTTGAAAACTATGTATATGCCTTTTTAATAGTGGAGTAGTCTCATAATAAGAGCACTTTTTAGGTATTAAAGGAGATCCAGGAGATCCTGGGCTGGCTGGTGTTCAAGGTGACGATGGTTTACCAGGAAAAGATGGCACACATGGTTTACCAGGACCCACTGGCCTTCCAGTAAGTAGTGAATATATGTACTTTTATTTTGTTGCTCATAGTCAAGCTGTCTTCCATTACCTACATACAAATAAATCATTCCAGTGTGTTTACTGGTAGCTCATGTAGTCAGATTTATAAGTTTTCTTCTTAGCTTTCATTTGAATTCCTTCTGTATTGAAGCAAATGAATACCAGCATACATCCAAGCCAAGATAGTTTACTGAATCATTGGTTAGCTACTGCATTCCCTGCTTCTTACATAAGAACTACAGTAAAAGCTGTGTTAAATGGCATTTTAGTCACCAGCATACCATACTAACTGGAATTTCCAACCAACTGGAGGCAGGGGAGAAGAGAGGAGGAGGTGGGGAGCAGCGCCCACCACTGCGCGCACCCTGGGAGGGCATGGGAGGGGTGCGTGCCCCTGGATCTGCATGCAGGGTGAGCTGGGGCTGGGGCAGCGCTGGCAAGGGGCTGAGCTGGGCTGCGCTTGAGGCAGACAGCAGTAGCACTGGGAGCAGGGCTACAGGAGGAGCTGCAGCCACTCCAGAATTCACAGTAGCCCTCCCAGTGCCACTGCCACCCAGCCCAAGTGCAGCATTGCCCAGTCCCCCCCCCAGGAAGAACCTGGCACAGCCCCAGCCCTGGCCCACAGCGGTAGCCCACGCAGATCCAGGGGCACGCACCCTCCCATGCTTTCCCAGGGGTGCATGTAGTGGTGGCACTGGGAGGGGGAGCCAAACAGGGGGGCACACACACGGCAGCTGCTGCTGCAGTTGCCACCCACCAACCTGCATTGCTGCCACTGTCGCTGCCACTGTCACTACCACTCACCGTCCCATGTGGCCGCTGACACCGTGCACACGCTGCTTTCCTCCGTGGGCTGCTGATAAGGCTTATGCCCAGACAATCGTAGCCACAGGCCCACAGAGCTGCATGTGCAGTTAGCCTTGGGAAAGTGGCACGGGCATGGCGGTGGCACAGGGCAGTGGGTGGCAGGTGGCAATGGCAGCAACGGCTGCTGTGTGCAAGCCCCCCCCCCCATCTGGCCAGCCAGGCAGCACCTGTGTGGCCTGCAGAGGGGTGCCCCTGCCCTTGCCCCCCTGGCCCTGCTCCTGGGAGCGGGCACAGAAGCACATCCCCCCCCACACACACACTACCATTCAGACCCTTGCTGCTCTCCAGGAAGGGGTGGAGGACAGCAAGTTGAGATGGGGGGGAGGCACTGCAGTGTGCCATGTGAGGCTGGCATCACCTGGCATGCTCCTTCCCCTCCACCTCCCCTGGGTAAGAGGCAAACTTTGGGAATATACCAAGGGAGATGCTGCTGCTGCATGCTGAGACACACTCTATCCCCACCTGCCTGCCTGCGCATACCCCCTATGGCCCCCTAAGTACCCCTGGGGGTATGTGTACCCCCAATTGACACCCCTGGAATAGCAAATCATGATACATCTGCCATTTTGTAACAAAATAGTATGACTAAGGGTCTACCTGAATTGCACCAGAAGTGTGCTGCACAGTGGGCATGTCTACATGTGCCCCTATGGTGCTGTTGTTACTGCGCCATCATTAAGTACTTCCAAAAAGAAATACTGAATGAAGGTGCAGTAACAGCCGTACTGCACCATGCCCATGGCACACAGTTATTTTTAGCTGCTACATCACTGGAGCAGCACACTATAGTTAGGGAGCACATTGCTACAGCGATGTAGCTGTGGCATCACAGTTTGTGCCTACTGATCCTATGTAGCCATAGCATGTTGCTACAGTGACATAGCATCTCGTGGTAGATGCACCCAGTGGCAACTTTATCCTTGCTCTTTTTGTCTTGCCGCCCCCCTCCCACTGATTGGCAGAGGTGCCTTGGTGACCCAGTTGCTTGCTCTTGATCAGCTAGGAAGCAAAAACCATGATTTTAAATATGCTGCAGTTCTTGCCTCCTGGCTGATCAGCAGCAAGCAGCAGGGCCACCAGCACCCCTCAGCCAATCAGCGGCAGGGCAGCATATAGTGTAAAGAGCAAAATGAAAGGAGCTACTATGTAGTGCATTTCCAACATGATTTAGGTAGATCCCTAATTATGACAACAGTTCTCAAAATTTCAGATTTAATTTAAACTGAACACCAGTCCAAAATCTAGTTTTGTTTCAGCATGAGCCTTGATACATCTCCAATCATAATTATTCCATAATTATTTTCTTCCTCTCTCCTCTCCAGTTGACACTTTCTGCAGTCTCCTGTCTTCTCAACCATTTTTGCTTCCATGATTTATACTTCTCTTTTCTTCCTATGTTATTTACTTGGTGATGGCAGAGAGAGGATGAAAAAATGTATATCATATTCTTATCAGCGTAAGGGAAAAGTCCATGCTCCCAAGCCTAAACTGTACCAGTTGGTTTCCAAGCCAGCCTTTGGTCAGCCACTAGAATGGCTCCATCTCCTCTCATAAAGAACCACCCTGGCTCTCCTGACTTTTATTGCACAACACAGTGAGCTTTCAGACTGCCATTTGATATAGGCACATCTGTTTTTCCTTTAATGGTTCTTAGCCATTGCTTTCTGATCTCCTGGTCTTTGTTTCCTGGTTCCTAGCTCCATATTTCTGACTATGGCCCATAATCCAGGATTCTCTTTTGGCTCTTGGGCTTTGCTTTCTGACCCGTTGGCTGTGGACCTAATACCTGATTTTGGCCTTACTTCTTGGTCTTAGATTTGTTGTCTCCCCAACTCCTGATCTCTAGCATGTAGCCTCTGGCATGGCTTCCATCCATCCACTAGGGACCCTTGGCTCTAGCCACTACACTGACCTACCCTAGTTTTCCCTACTAATCAGTATTTACAATGCTATCTGGCTTGTCACAGGTGTAATGGGCAGAGTGAGGAGCTCTTTAATCAGACTATGGACTCTACTTGCAGTTTTACAGCCATGGATTGTATATCAGTGATTTGCATTGTCCAAATGTTCATTTGCCAGCCATTTTAGTGAAATGTTCTGTCAATTGATATTTCTTTCTTAGTAATTGTCCTACTCTAAAAATCTAAGTCAAAGTCTTAACTTATTATTTTAAAGGTCCTTTTTGTTAATGTTATCCTTGTAAATGTCAACGAAATAGGGGAATAACCATCATAAATTAAATAATAATAAAAATAGTTTAATTTATTGGGGGTGTTGTTGCATTCCTAGCAAAAGTCTAAGTGTTTACCTATATTTGTTTAATCTATCTTAACACAGGGTGATGGTATCAGAGGTCTCCCAGGTGACCCTGGTTTTCCAGGCCCGACAGGTGTTAAGGGCTTCCAAGGAGATGCTGGACTGCCAGGTGTTGGTTTACCTGGCTCAAAAGGATTTCATGGTCTTCCAGGGGACCATGGAACATATGGAAAGTCTGGACCTCCAGGTCCTCCAGGTCCTCCAGGAGATCCAGCTCAGCTAGGTATGAGTGATTACATTTTCTTATGTCAAAGCCTGTTTAAATTCGCTGATGATACCAAAATTTGGGGTGAGGTGAGCACACTAGTAGGGAGGGAAAGACTGCAGCAAGACCTGGATAGGTTACAGGGGTGGGCTAACAAAAACAGGATGCATTTCAATACTGACAAGCGCAGGGTGCTGTACTTGGGCAGTAGTAACCAGCAGCACACTTATAAGATGGGAAATTCCCTTCTTGTGCAC